ATAAGCTTGGAGAATAATTCTCCTCAAAACACGTGTTTGTCAACAATTCAGTTATTTGTGCTTCTGTATGTAGACTGTGATACTTATGCTGCAGCATTTCTGCATTTTCTGTCTATGTCTCTAATTATATCTTGGATTTGATTCTGTTGTCAGTGGAAACAATAATGGAGAACCTGCCATAAACTGAATTAACGAGCTAGAAGCTGCATCCTAGGTTTGTAATGAGTGCCAGCTGTTTTGGAATAGAGTCAGTACTTTTCTGACTTTGTCTATCCCATTTCCCACTGTGTTTCTGCTTTGGGGTTGTTTTGTTTTTGGTCTTTCTGTTGTTTTTTTTTTTAACTCAAGTAAGCAGCAGATTGAGAAACAAAAGATGGCCTCATTGGGAGTGGTATTTCTTTCTGTTTCATTTGACATAACTTACTGTTCTGTCAGCATTAGATTACAAAAAAATCACTTAATTTCCCTGTATGATAACTGCCTACATGGGAATGGTCATGGCAATGCATTGCTAATGCATAATAGTAGGGATGGCTAATTTGTTGCAACAGAGACTACGAAAGCTGTAGAAGAGGACCTGGAGATTGGCAGCCAACTGAACACAGAATCATAAAATGGCATAGGTTCGAGGGAACTTTAAAGGTTATCCAGTTCCAACTGCGCTGACATGGACAGGGTTGCCAGCCACTAGACCAGGCTGCCAAGGATCCCATCCAACTTGGCTTTGAATGCCTCCAGAGACAGAGCATCCACAGCCTCTCTGGACAGCCTCTTCCAGAGCCTCAACATCTTCTTAAGTAAAACATTTCTTCCTAACATCTAGCCTAAATCTACCCTCTTACGGTTAAAGCCATTCTGACTTGTCCTATCACTATCAGACTTTATAAAATGTTGGTCTACCTTTTTCTTATAAGCTCCCTTTAAGCATTTGAAGGCTGCAGTGAGGTCTCTCTGCAGCCTTCTCTACTCCAGGCTGGACAAGCCCAATTTCCTCAACCTGCCTTCATAGTAGAGGTGCTCCAGCCCTTTGATCATCGTCATGGAACTCCTCTGGACTCTCTCCACATTCCTCCTGTACTGGGGGTCCCAGACTTGGACACAGGACTCCAGGTGGGGCCTCACTAGTGCAGCACAGAGGAGCAGGATCACTTCACTTCTCTCCCCCTGCTGGCCACCCCTCTCTTGAGGAAGTCCGGGGTATCATTGGCCTTCTGGGCTGCAAGTGCATGCAGCTGGTGCATGTCCAGTTTTTTGTCCACCAGGACCCCCAAGTCCTCTGCAGGGCTGCTCTCAGTGAGTTCTTCTCCCAGACTCTACTCATATCTGGGATTGCCTTGACCCAAGTGCAATATTTTGCACTTGGTCTTGTTAAACCTCAATAGATTCTCACGTGCCCACTTCTCAAGCATGTGCAAGCCCCTCTGGATGGCATCCCTTCCTTCTATTGTGTCAGCTGCACCACTGAGCTTTGTGTTGTGTGCAGACTTGCTAAGGATGCGCTCAATCCCACTGTCTGTGTCACTGATAAAGAGTTGTAGAGTGCTGGTCCCAAGGAAGACATCACTTCTGATCCCATTCCATCTGGACATGGAGCCACTGATAACAGCCCTCTGGCTATGACCATCCAGCCAATTCTTTATTGTCCAGCCTTCAAATCCACCTCTCTCCAATGTAGAGATAAAAATCTGGTGTGTCCATGTCAAAGGCTTTGCACAAGTCCAGATAGGTCCACCAATGCCATCACTCCACTTAGAAGACCACTGGATTGGTCAAGCATGTCTGCCCTTGGTGAAGCCACACTGGCTGTCTCAGATGTCCTCTTCATCTTATATATATCCATGAGGATCTGCTCCATTATCTTCCCAGACATAAAGCTCACAGGTCTAGTTCCCTGCATCCTCCTTTTTCCCTTTCTTAAACATGAGAGTGGCGTTTCCCTTTTTCCAGCCATGATTTGTCAGATATGTTGGGGAGAGAATTGGCAACCACATGAGCCAGTTCCTTCAGAATCCTGGAATGCATGTCATCTGGCCCTGTACATTTGTACTCATCCAGTCTCATCAGGTGATCTCAGACTTGCTCTGCTCTTACACTGGAAGGGATTTTACTTCTCTGTTTTAGAAGCTCAGGGACATGAAACGTATGAGATCCTTGACTGTCCATGAAAACTGAAGCAGAGAACTCGTTAAGTACCTCAGCCTTCTCCGTAACTGAGAAGGCCAGCAATCCTGTTTCTTTTATCAGAGGGAGTACACTCTCCTTTGCCTGTTTCCTCTGCCTAACATTTCTAATATGTTTCCTTTCTTATATCTTTATGAATCCTTTCTTGTTTTCATATTCCTTTCCAAGTTCAAGTCCATCTACACCTTGGCTTTCCTGCCTCCATCCCTACATATGTGGACAATATCCTTATATTCTTCCCAGGTCACCTATCTCTGCTTCTACTGCTTTTACTTTTTCTGCTCATCCTGACCAGTGGGTCCTTGCTCTGCCATGCACTCACAGAAAGATGTCCTTTCTGTGCTCTTTTTTGTTCCTTTGTTCCTAAGGACAGTTTCCTAAGGGATCTCATCCAACACTTCCTTAAACAGCCTGAAGTTGAGGGTCCTGACTCCACTCTTTGCCAGGCCCACATTCCTAAAGATCATGAACTTGACTAGGACATGGTTACTGCAGCCCAAGCTGCCTTCAGTCAAAACCTCTTTTACGATCTCTTCCTTGTTGGTGACCACCAAGTCCAGTAATGCTTCACCTCTTTTCAGTATCTGAACCATCAAGTTCTCATCAAGAGATGATGCCAGGATTCTCCTGGACTGCTTGCAGCTAGCTCACTATGTTGTTTTCCCAGTATTTATCCGGGTGGTTGAAATCCCCCATCAGCATGAGATCTTGCGAGTGTGATGCTTCTTGTAGCTGAAGCAAAAAAGCCTCATCAGCAGGCTCCCATTGATCAGGTGGCATGTAGTAGACCTGGAACAATAGGTGCCCTTTATTGGTTCAGTCCCTAACTTTAACCTACAAGCTCTCAACCTGTTCACGACAGTTTGTCAGGGGCAGCTCTTCAAAGTCTATCCACTTCTTAACATAGATGGCAACTCCCCACCTCTCCTGCTTCACTAAAAAGCTCTTCTTCTAAAAAGCTCATAGCCCTCAGTGATGGTATTCCAGGTACATGAGTTATTCCATGCTTCGGTGATAGCAATAAGATTGTAGTTTTCCAATTGCACCATGGTTTTTCATCTCCTCCTGCTTATTTCCCACTCTGTATTGGTATAGGGGCTTTTCAGCTGGACTGTTAGCCACATTACCTTCCCGAAGGAGCTCTTCTAAAATTCCTCTGGGAAAAATGTGAAGTTTTCCCCTCCCCTGCTTTTTAAAGCAACAGTGTTTCCTGGCTATTCTCTGTTCATCAGCAGTACATCCCCTTCCCCTATCAAATCTACTAATGAGGTCTGCAAACTTGCTGCCTAGTACATTCATCATAAGATACAGCAGATTAAGGTCCTCCACTAGCACCTTTTCTCTAACTTAGCTATGCTATCCCACATCTTTTCATGGGCAGGTCGCCATTACTCCCTTCTCTCTTCAAATCACGTTAAAAGCCCTGTCCATGAACCCAGACAGACCCTGAGACAGAGTACTTTTCCTCGTGACCTAGGTGGACATCATCAGGAGCCATCAGGCCAGGTACAGAGTAAACCGCCTCATGGTCAAAAAAGCCAGAATTCTTCTTAGCTGTATATTCATCAGCTGGATTTTCTTGGTCCTTGCCCCTGAAGGCATACAAGAAGACACCACCTGTACTCCCACTGTCCATTAAATTGCCTCAGTCCCCTGAAGTCACTTTTGATAGCTTTCAGGCTCTCAGTGACTTCATTGTTCCAGCCTGAACTATCAGTAAGGAGTAATAATCAGAGGAGTGAACTGGACTAGGGAGTCTGTATCATGTTTACGCTCCCTGATGCTCTTCAATCTCTCCACCTCCTCCTCAAGCTCCTGCCCTGTGCTGAGCAGATCACCCATAGGCTCACACCTCACACAGGTGGTATCTCTGCCACTCTGCGAGGGCAGCAGCAAGCTCAGGCACTCCCTGCAACCAGAGACCAGAACAGACGTATTTCTGAGTAGGCACTCAGTCTGGGTAGCCGCATTCTTTTATGCAGGAGCTTTCTGCCTGATGGGAATCATAGCAAGATTTGTTGTCTGGGAGGCAGCTGATTGATGAGCCAGTCCCCTGATTGGGGAGGAGTAGTCTGCCCTGCCTGTGTTAACTGCTACACCATGCTCTGCCCACTGTTTTCAGCACTCCTGGGAACTCTGCTCCCTGCAGGCTGCTTTTCTAATTTCAGGGTGTGATGCTGCTGCTCTTGGCCCTGCCCCCACCATGTCAGAACTGCTGCCACATGGGAGGCAGTTGTGTCTGGCAGCTTCTCGCTGACAGGAATTCAGTTGTCCTGAATAGGCACAGTCAGTTCCTTGCTTTAGTGTGGAATGCGACTGCACCAGAGCTGTCTGCCTGCAGAGAAAAATATGAGCTAGCAGTGTGCACTGCTGAAGGCTAAGAAGGCCAGTGGCAGCCTGGCCTGACAAGAGGGAATGGCTTTAAAATAAAAGAGGAGAGATTTAGGTTAGATGTTAGGAGAAGATTTTTCACTCAGAGGTTGGTGAGGCACTGACACGGGCTGCCTAGAGAAGCTGTGGATGCCCCATTCCTGAAGGCATTCAAGGCCAGGCTGTATGGGGCCCTGGGCCCTGATCTAGTGGGTAGCAGAGCCCTGTGTCTGTTGCAAGGTTGGAGCTAGGTGATCTTGAAGGTCCCTTCCAACCCAGGACATTCTGTGAGGTGACCGTTCCCTTGTACACAGCAGAGGGGAGGCTGGGCCACTAGTTCATTGTTTGGTTTTGGGTCCCTCATTAAAAGAAGGATGTCAAGTCATTGGAATGGGTTCAGAGAAAGGTAACTAAGCTGGTGCAGGGACTAGAAAACAAGACATACAAGGAGCGGCTGACAAAACTGGGGTTGTTGAGTTTGCAGATGAAGAGGCTGGGGGAGACTACCGCTCTGCAACTATCTGAGAGAGGGCTGCTGTGAAGTTCATCTCTTTTCTTGGGTGATAACTAATAGAACATAAGGGAACATCCTTAAGTTGCAGCAGTGGGGTTTAGCTGAGATATAAGAAAGATCTTAAAAGATTTTTACAACCCTTTTTTATATCAACAACTGTATGATTCAAAGTGTTGAATTTATATTTTCAAAGAACAGTGAGACTTGCCATACTGAAGTAAAACCATCTTGAAAATTACTATCAGCATCTCTCACTGGAATAGTCTTTTTTTCTGCCTTTTCACTGAGTAAATGTTGAAGTTGTCACATCATGTTTTCTTAGTCTATCCCAAAATTTATTTGGAATTCAAAATTCCAAAAAATTTGCTTTTTTGAATAGTTACATTTCTTAAAAAGTTAAGTTTGTGCTTTGCCCACAAAGCTAACTGCCAGTTAGCAGTTTCTGTAGTTTTTGCTTTCTCCGGACAACATGTTCAGTGAGTTTAGGATTAGTTTTAATTCAGCAGGAAAGTATTCACAAATTACATGGCGATTTTGGATCTGTAACGAGTGAAATCCAGAAGTTCATGTCATCCTTTTACTTAAAAGTTGTTTACTAAAGTTTAGAAACATTTCCATGCTTCAGTTTTGTAATGGTTGAACAGAACAGGAAGAGATGAGAGAGTTCTTTGTTTTGACATTGCTACTGGGGGTTTTGGTTTAGTTATATTTCTTTCCCAGCCTGACAGGTGAAATGAATTTGTCATTGTTACAAAATCTAGATTTTCATCTTTTCGGCCCTTTGAAACTGAGAGCAGTAATTCAACCTTTTAAATATTTCTTTCTTCTCTATTATTCTCCTCCCATCTCAATTTTTGGTTTGTACAGAGATTAATTATTAAAACATTTTGGTTTACAGGGAGGCTGTGTTGATTCAACAAACCAGAGCCTTGCTCTGCTGCTCATGACCCTTGGACAACAAGATGTTTCCAAAGTCCTGTTAGGACCTCTGTCTCCATACACGTAAGTTGTTTTTTATTTTTATTTTTTCTCATTTTATTTACTTAGTCTTGTTCAATTCTATATCACACAGCTATTTTTTCTATGTGAAAGATGTTGTCTGTGGCTGTGAGTAGAACAACCTTTATCCGTCTTAAAATGAGACAGGTAGTGTAAGTTACCCAGTGTAAACACAGATTAAAATATTATTTCCGTACTGTTTTGTATTCTTCCTGATTCTGAAGCAATTAAAATTGCAGAGATGAGGTTTATTGTGGATTCTTGGTCTTGTATGTGTACATCAGTTAGCTTTTTCTGCCTAGCATACACTAACTTGTTTTCCTAGCGATTTCTCTGTAGCTGGGACATTAAATGGCCTGTTTTGAATGGCTTGCCAAATGCTAAAGCTGTAACTGTCTAAAGGAGACAGCTCAAGAGTTCAATTTGTGGAGCTGTGTGCAGCCCTAAAGCTTTAGTCCTGTCAGGTAGTGGACTTCTGTGATGCCCTTTAATCTTGAATTTTATTAAAGATTTGTCTGTCACTACTAATGATTTGGAGGAATAAATTTCTCACAGTTAGTTGAAACATGGGGTAGGTAAAAGACATCCGATACCAAAAATTTCATTTATTCTAGAAGACTGACTTGGTCATAGCAATTCGTAGAGACTGGGCAGTTTTCCATTAAGCAAGATGAAAGAAGGGTAGCTTATTTGACAATGGCATCAAACAATAAGACTATGAACTGTCCTTTTTCGGTTATCATGGTACCGGTGCTGTATACGTGAAAGGTACAGTACTGTGATAACTGAAGAATGGTGGTGCCATCACATGAGATCTAGAAATTGCCTAACTTCAATTTCAGTCTCTTACACCTGGGTAACAACATTCATCAGATTTTTTTGGGGAGGGGAGCAAGGAGAGGGAGGGAGCAGGTAAGCCTCCTTTTGCACAGGAGTGAAGTAATCCTGTGTGAAGTAAGTATCCAAGTGAAAGGCATCAAAGAAGTACACAATTAAGCACGTGAAACAAATTGATGACTTACATCATTCAGCCTTTTTTTTCCTCCTTGATACTATGCAAGTTGTGTGAGCACATCACTTTATTTTGTAAGCAGACTGATTTCAAATGGGTGGATTGTCACTTCTGCCAGGCTAGGAGTGCATGGCAGAGATCGAGGTCAGGAGCAGACATGCTGGAGCATCACATGCCACAAGAAATCAACTCTGTCTGGAGCACCTTCATGCCCTCACTAAGGCAGCTGGTAAAGGGTCGGGAAAGTTGGCCCTCAAGCAGCTCATCAAGTGCACAAGTTTTTGAATTGAATTATGGTACTGTCATCGTAATCCCTTCTTCCCTTTGTCAGAGCTATAATGTCTCTGCATTTAACACTTAAACCTTGCAGACTTCAAAGCTATTTATAAGACATATATAGTTGAGTTCCCTCAACTGAGTCCAGCACGGTGTAGCCTAAATGTGACAGTTCAGCTGGTGGATTAAAACTCTGTGAGGGAGATATGACGCTCTGGAATACACCCACCAGAACAAGGAGATATCTTCCACATTTGTGTATTTCCCTCAGAGCCATTGCTCATGTGGAAGCTATGCTAGGAACAGGGCTGCCTAGGGGAGGATCACCAGCCTCTTGCGTTATATTGCAGATTTCACAGTGCTTGTCTGTTGAGCTGCTCATAATTGTGGGTGCTCACGGTGTTGCCATCTCACAAAGGGTGAATGGTAACAAATCTTAAATCTGGCATGAAATGAGGGCCTTGCGGTTTTGTCTGGTCTGCATGCAGATGAATGTGTGTGGACCAGGGTGCACACCGAGGACAGCAATGGGAAAGCACTGCTGCCAGCTTGTAAGGCCTTAGGGAGGAAAAAGGCACATGTGCTTCAGCATGAAAGTCCCCACAAACTGCATCTGAAAACTGCTCGCAAGCTGTGGTGTGCAGGGCACCAAAATAGCGGGGGAAAACTTGACAGAACTGAGCACAGGCAGCAAGAAGGGGAGGAAGAAAAGGCATCCGTGGCCCAAGGGGGGTCTAATCTGCCTACAGCAACAAACAGGATAGCCACCTCCCACTGCGGCCCCTCTGCTGGGCTAGCCCTGCTCACAAGCGCTGCCCACTGCCGCGTTGAGCTGACCCAGAGCTGCCTGCACAGCTCTGCGAGTGTCAGCCGGAGGGGAAGGGGCAGCTACAGCCCCTGCTATTTCATTTTCTGTCTCCCTCCTCCAGGGCAGGCTGGGGTCTCCTCTACTCCCCTCCCATCCCCTCCCTCTCCATTGGCTGGGACCAGACGATCTGAGGAAGCAGAGGCCACAGGCCAGGCCCAGCGGGGTCTACTCTGCGGTCTACTCTGGCACTCTCGTGTCGCTGATGTGTGCCGTGTGTGAGCTCCCACGTGCACTGCTATGTGTTTGGGGTAAAGGAACAGAGCAGGCCTTGTTGGCAGCCAGGTCTTCTCAAGTGGTGATTAATGAGCTGGTCACTGTGCCCTGACAGCAAGCTAGAACACATAAAGTGATTATGCTGCTCAGTAGGCTTCTGGAAAAAGAGGGTCCTTCTGCAAGCTTACTTTTCTATATATATATAATTGTAGTACAGTGGTTATTAATTCCAAGGAGTCTGGCGCTGAGGAAGATGTCTGATATGGTTCTGTTAACTGTCCTTCAGCTTAACAGAATAAAGAGAGAATAAAGACTAAGACTCCAACAAGATAAAACTGCTATACTGCTCACTCCCTCTGTCACTCCTCTATTTGGCTCCTGTGTGTTTGATGCAGCTGCCTATTATTTGGGATATAGACCTTGCCCACACTTTTATCAGCCTCAAGCTAACAGCAGCCCACTTTCTGCTTCATTTTGTTATGTCTCTTCCCCTTTCTTTTTTCCTATTTCCAGAGTTCTTACCTCATGTTTCCTACTGCTTACAAATTCTCCTTCCTGATCTCCATGCACCCTCCTCCTCTCCCATTCCTTTAAGCCTATCTTATTTACCCAGGGGCTTTTGCTTTTTCACTCTTTCCAGAAGTAGAGGCAGAGCAGCAATAGTCTACAAATGTAGGAAGAGAGGTCCTCTGCTTCTGTGCTGCCTTTGGCACTTACGCAGTTTATTCTGTATCCTTGCAGTTCAGTGCTGTGTTCCTGCTGTTTTGAGCTTGTCTTTTCAATTGTCACACTGCCAGAGCTCTGGGAAGTGACCCAGCTAGCAAGGAGGCTGATACAGAGCTTGTTGCCTGTCAGTTTTGCTGGAGTATTTTTGCCCATTTGCTTACTTACAGCCTCCTTTTGGATCTGAGGAGGCATGGAAGAAAAGGCAGTCTTCATTTCTTCCTTAAAACTGTTAACACATTCAGGAGATGTGAAAGCTGGTGCTTGTGTGAAGGCTGGTCACTAGCCCAGCAAAATGGGGTGAGAAGTTGTACGTAGCAGGAGGATCCACATGCCCACATTCATCCTACAGAGGTATTCAGCTGATTGCTTCAGAGGCAAATCACCAAGCACAGACCAGTGTCATTGACAGTAGCCTCTGTCTGCCTGGCTCCTGCTGTTTCTCTCTTCTCCCCACTCACACATCCATGTGCAGGAGTACAACTCAAGTGGGTAACACAGTTCCTGATTCTGCAGCACCCACTGTGCTGTGTATAGAGGCTCCTGGATTTCTGTGTATAGAAGGTGCCAGGAGCTTTGTGATGCTCTGGGGACTGTCTTCTGCCCTTGGTCTCCTGCTTCTCATTTTTCTTGATTTGATGTCATGATACAAGTGACTAGCTTGTGATTATGCTGTTAGCATGCAAAGCAGAAGCTTTTTGCAGTTTGCCAACTGCAGGTGTGTGGACTGGATGTGAGCGTTCTTTTTCTTCAAAGGTTAAACTTAGTCTAAAAAGAGTATTTGCTGATTGATGTAGAAGATTAAACATTAGATCACAACTACAATCTTGCCTCTGACTGTGGCTGGAAGAGAACAGTTATGTCATAAGCAATTATCAACTGTAGCATTTTGGTGTAATTGCATGTTCCCTGTTTTGGGAAGCCAAGAGGAATGTTTTCTTGGATTTTTATTTTCTTTGGTTCAGTTAGGTTTTGTTTTGTCATATTTTTTTTCTTAAGAGTGTTGCTATTTTTTTTCTGTCAGACCCTCTCTGCTCTGACAGAAACAAATCTGAACTGTGCCTATTTAGTGTCTTTGTGCCTCTCATTCTGAAATTACAGGAAATTGCTTCCTGCTCTTGAAAATCAGGAGAAAATAGGATAGATTAGTTCAGTTGGAAGGGACTCACAGAGATTGTCAGTCCAACTGCCTGATCACTTTAGGGCAAACCAAAAGTGATAGGGCATTATCCAAATGCCTCTTGAACATCAGCAGACACAGAGCATCAGTCACCTCACTAGGAAGCCCAGAAGTATGCCCCCAAGGCCAAACTCTTAGCTATCTCTATTTAATCTTTTGTTTCTGCTTTAAACTTTGGGAGAGATACTGTACTGTAGGTTGGTACAGTGTTCTTAGGACCCTAATGTAGAGTCAGCATTGTGACTAAGTGACCTTGCCTGGCTACACCTGTTCTTTCTCTCCTTGTTTTCCTTCCTTAGCATTTTGTCTTGCTGTTACCGGGCATTCTGTCTTTCTCTGCCTATACAGAGTACGTGGTGTTTTCAGTAGGGGTCACTAGCAGCAGTGCAAGTGAGAAAAAATTTTTGAGCCTGTGGGTTTGTTTCTCTGTACTGAGCAATATTCTTATGCTTATTGTGCTCATTGGAATTGACACTAGTAGATACTGCTGTTGTGCTTTTTGGTTTTTTTCTTAAGTTCTGTTGTTTTCTCTTCCTCAGAATTGAGTTTCTGCGACACCTGAGAAGCTTCTTCCAGATCATGTTTAAAATTGAAATGAAGTCCCCTGAAGAAGAATGCAAGGGCGGAGAGAAAGTCTTAATGACATGTGTTGGCACTGGATTTTCCAACCTTAGTAAAACAATAAGATAAGAAGCTTATCTGCAGACTTTCCAAAATGAGATATCAGAAAACATTGCAAAAATTTGATAAAAAGTGTCTTCCCCTCTACTTATTCTGGCACCAGGAAAATCAGTGCACAGGTACTCAATCTTGCTTCATGTGAACAATAAAATTACTTCAGGCTGTTTAGACCTGTGTTCTTTTTGAAGATGCATTACTGCTATGCATGGAATGACACATTTTGTACAGCTGCAGCATTTTAAAAGAGGGATTATAATGGATGACCACTTTTTGGATTGACAGGTGCTGGAAGTTCCTGTCAGAATATAAATTCTTACCCAGTAAAAACTTTTTGCTAGATTCAATGCAAGCCTGATGAATCTAATGCTGAGCTCTTTATAGAAGGAAAAAGGTTTATGCTTGATTTCATATTATACTCAGTGTGAAATAAAACAAAACTGTGTTAGAAGGTGGTATACTCATAGAGCAAGTACTAGTGACTGTGTTATAATGGTCTTAAAAATTCTATCCAGTGCTGCTGTAAAGTGGGTATGATCTATCTAAGCATATTTTGAAAATACTTTGTTCTAAATAAGGTTTTCTTCCTCTGTAGAAACCAATGAAGTTTTTTTCAGACCTGTAAGATGGCATTTCAAATGCCAACTATTTTGAAGTGTTATATGGAAAGAACAGTTAGGGAATTGTTGGAGGTCGGGCCATTTTTACAACTTAGTACCTTCCAAAACTTTTTGGCAGATAAGCAAATCCCAAGTAATTTAGGAAAAACCTAATTGAAGTTCTTCAACTATTTTTTCTTTTCAAATTATTGCAGAAAAAAAGTCTGTGGGCAAAGAATAATTTCTTGCCTTGCTTCCCATTGTTACCTGCACAATAAAAAGCTGGAAACTCTCCAAATAAAAGTTATGCTAAATATGGGGACCCACTGATCCAAAAAATGGAATGTACAAAGGTGAGATGAGTAGTTACTGGAATGAATGTTTAAAACCTACATTAATTCAAAGTAAAATTTTACAGCACAGCTCAGATTCCTGAAATAAATCTAAATAAACATTAGAAAGTACTGCCACAGTTTCAAAAGCTAAAAGCTCTATTCCATTTAAACTTTGAAAGTTCTAAGCTTTTGAAATTGTGACAGCATTTCCAAATGTTCATTGTACCAAGCATAGAAAGGACAGTGTGTTGCCCTGGTAGAAATACTGCTAAGAGCCCAGGTAATCTTAGCAGTAAAGTAGTTATGTCATAAAATTACCCATGCTTAACTAAACCTCATTGTTGAAGTTAGGCTGTTAAACCTCAGCCCTGCTGAGAGAAAGCAACTAGATTGCATAGCTCCACAACAGACTGCTAGCTATGACTCAGAATTGCTGGTTGCTTTACACAGAAAAACACGTGTATAACAGGAAGAAGTCTTCCAGAACAGCCAGTTTCTGGAGAAATAGGAACAATCGAACAATTCCAAATTGTTCCTTAAAAATTATTTGATCTTTATGTTGTGTGAAAAGTACTTATGATATAAGTATACTATATATAAGATCTGTCTGTTTACAGACAGAATGGTGATTAAAACTTGTTTTGATAAACTGATCCCATATGTAATGGGACAGGTCAGTTTTACAGAGAAGTGATTTCTAACAAAGAGACCATTCATGTTCTTTATCAACACATCTTTATCAAGGATGTTACGAGGAGATACATTTTTAATCTCAGTCCATCATGGTAGGTTTAAAAATCTTCAGATTTGAACTTGATAATCTGTATCAGAACAATTTTGTACTCCTTGAGCTATTTGTCAATTCAGTTTGTGGTTTTAGATAAACTATTCTGATAATATTCTTCAGCTGTGATTGGAAACTTTTCTGCTTGCAGAATACCTTAAGGATGGGCTATAGGGGATGTAGTTGTGGGAAGGGACTAATTAATAGAAGCATTTTGTAATGTGTATTTTAAATGCACAGGACAAGGTGAAAAAGCACGAAGAAATGTTTTGACAGAAAACTATCAGAGCAAGTCATTATATGGAGAATCATTTTCTTTCAATTTGCCTAACAGAAAAGGCTACTGCTGTCTGATGCAAAAACTATTAGAAAAATGTTATTTTTATATGGTATCCAATTCCATTTTTGTGATGTGTATTGTTAAATGCTGTTCAGTTTCGGAGATGGCTGGTAACTTTTTTGTATCTTCTGTGTTTACATGAGAAAATTCATGATAAGTTGCTGTAGAACAGATTCTGGAGTAGCAGAGATTATGCTGAAGGTGAAATTGCTTCAGTCCCAGCCTGTGCACTTTACTGAAGGTGTGTGGCTTGAAGCCAGTGCAGTAAATGTCTGGGAAAGCACACAGTGAGATAGCAAGGCCAAAACAGTAGGTACATGACTGCCCTGGGTAATATTTTCAAAATTGTGATTATGTTACTGCTAGAGCACAGATACTCTCTTTCTTCTTCCCTTACCCCACAGGTGATATTAAGAGTCTAATGGATTTTGTTCTGAGCCACTGAGACATATTTCTGCTGTTTGCAAGCTTTGACATTCACTTTCCAGTTTTTCAGTCATGCCCTTGAGGCAGCAGCAGGAGGGAAAAAGACAATAAGGAAAAGTACCAACTTTCAGAAGGAATAATTTTACATATAAACTTTTTGCTCTGTCTTTGTTATTTTATGACCATCTCCGCACATTCATTTTGCATGTCTGATAAAGCATTTATGTGCATTAAAAAGGGCATGATTAGCAGGTCAAGGGAGGTGATCCTCCCCTTCTTCTCTGTCCTGGTGTGGCAACATCTGGAATACTATGTCTGGCTTTCTCAGTTCAGGAATCACAGAATCATAGAATGGTTTGGATTAGAAGGGAATTCAAGGATCGTGAATCTCCAACTCTGCACCACATGCAGGGCCACCAACCTCCACATTTAATACTAGACTAGGCTGCTCAGGGCTCCATCCAACCTGGCCTTGAACACCTCCAGGAACAGGGCATCCACAACCTCTCTGGGCAGCCTGTTCCAGCACCTCACCACTCTCTCTGTAAAGAACTTCCCCCTGACATCCAACCTAAATCTCCCCTCTTTCAACTTAAAACCATTTCCCCTTGTTCTGCTGTTATCTACCCTTTCAAAGAGTTGACTCTCCTTCTGTTTGTAGGCTCCCTTTAGGTACTGGAAGCTGCAATGAGGTCACCCCGCAGTCTTCTCCAGGTTGAACAAGCCCAGCTCCCTCAGCCTGTCTTCATAGGGGAGGTGCTCCAGTCCCCTGATCATCTTTGTGGCCCTTCTTTAGAGCCTCTCCAACAGCACTCTGTCTTTCTTGTACTGGGGGCTCCAGACTGGATATAGTACTCCAGATGGGGTCATGCAACAGCAGAGTAGGGAGGGACAATCACCTCCCTGTCCCTGCTGACCACCCCTCTTCTGATGGAGCCCAGGATACCATTTGCTTTCTGAGCTGTAAGTGCACATTGCTGGCTCGTGTCAAGTTTTTCATTCATCAGGACCCCCAGGCCCTTCTCTGTAGTGCTACTCTAAAGGACCGTTCTTCCCAGTCTGTGTATATGCCTGGGATTCCTCCAGCCCAAGTGCAAAACCTTGCACTTTGCTTTGTTGAAGGTAGGAAACTTCTGGAGAGAGTTCAGTAGAGGGTTACAAAGATGAGTCAGAGCCTGGAGCATCTCTCTTAGAAGGAAAAACTGAGAGACTCAGGACTGTTCAGCCTAAAGAAAAGAATGGAAGGTGATCTAATTAATGTTTATAGGTATCTAAAGTGTGGGTGTAAAGTGAATGAGGCCACTCTTGTTGCTGCATTCTTTTCAGTGATGTGCAGCAACAGGACAAGGGGCAATGGGCAAGATCGGGAGTACAAGAAGTTCCATACAAACGCAAGGAAGAACTTACTGTGAAGGTAACACAGCACTGGAAGAAGCTGCCCAAAGAGTCTGTGAAGTCTCCTCTGGAGATACTTAAGACCCTCCTGGAAGCTTTCCTGTGCAACCTACTGTAGGGAACAAGGTTTTAGCAGGAGAGTTGCACTCAGTGATCTCCAGAGGTCCCTCCCAACCCCTATGATTCTATAATTTCTACTCAGTCTGGAAACTAGGGAATACAGAATAAGGCTGCTACTTTGTCAAAGCAACCATAAACAAAGAAAAGAAAAGGAAAGGAAAAGAATAGAAAAAAAGGAAAGGGAAGGGAAGGAAAAGAAAAGAAAAAGGAAAGGCATGGTGCAAGGGACATCTTCTACAGTTACTGTTTAGGTCCTAGTAAACCTGAAAGATGGAAAAGAAAAAAGACAATCCTGCAAGGAATAGTGTGTGTGTTGGATTTTGCTGTAACATCATTGTACAGAATTGTCATGAAGGAAAGTCATGCACTCTGTTAGAGCATCACAATGCCCAAGTAGTAATTGCAGTTGATAACTTAAAACATTACAGTAAGACAGGTTTGTTAGAATGATCTGTAGTATATCTGTAGCAGTAGGTGTAAGTGTGAGTGGTAATCTTTCTCCTGAAACAGTAAAATTACTATACATATTCACCAAAAAGAGTACCATGACCTATATTCCCTGTCTGCTACGGAATATCTGGAAGTTGGGTCTATGTCAAAATATGCATGAATACTGATTTATTTATTTTAAGTAGAAAAGAGATCAGAAAAAAATCTTAAAGCTTGTTTATGTTTCAGCACTCAGAAGGTGCCTGATTTTGTAGGGTTTCCTTAAATGTTTGCATATGTATTTGTATTTAGAAACGCCTCTACAGATTCAGAATGTATCTGAGGGAAAAGGTTTCTGCTATGAAATGTTCCAGAGCATCAAATATAAAAATCTATGCCATATTCACACCACAAATATCTTATCCACTATTTTCACCTTTGGTTTTTGTAACTTAAATTGTGTATGTAATGTACATCTGTGATAAATCAGAACTCAGTAAGAGAGCCTAGAATACATAATTTCTGTTTTGTTTGGAAATATGCTTGTCAGGTTGTTAATAAAAATACTGTTTCTTAATCCTTGATGTCAATATCGAATTTTCCCTAGAAACAGTATCAAGATCTTGTTCTAGTCTGTTCTAAGTAATGATGTACAGATTCAAAGTAAGGAAAATCTGATTTGAAAGGATCTGGATTTTTTCACAGTACGTGGAACATCTTAGAAGAGCAGGCTACAGATCATA